GTCTGCTTCTCCCTCTGACCCTCCCCCCTCTCATGCTCTCTCTATCTCAGTCTCTCTCTCAAATAAATAAATAAAATCTTTAAAAAAAGAAAAAGAAATCTAGAAAAGCAAAAGAAGGTAGCTCGGGCAGTGATTCTCAAAGTGTAGTTCCAGGACCAGCAACACCAGCATCAACTGGAGGCTTCCTTGTTAGAATTGCAAATCATTAGGCCACACCCCAGACCCACTGAACCAGAAACTCTGGGGGTGAGGCCCAGTGTTTGGGGTTTAACCATCCCTACAGGTAATTGTGATGGACCCTGAAGTTTGAGAACCACTGCACCAGCAGATGAGCACCCAGGGCAGAGCATTCCAGCTAGAAGAAATCATGTAGTGAGGCCCCAAGGCTGGGAGAAAGATGGCGAGCCAGTGGAGCTTCCAGAAGGCCCCACAAAGAGGATGATGGGGTAGATGGAGCCTGGGACATACACCTGGGTCAGATTGCTTCAGGGCCTGTGGTAAGGATTCTGCCCACTGTCCTAAAAGCCATGGAAAGCCACAGAGCAGTTTTAATTAGGCATGCGATATGATCACATGTGCATTTTGAAGACATCCCTCTGACCACAGCATAGAGAACTGAGTAGACTTCAGTCCTCTAATTTGAAAACTGATAAAATGGAGTGGAAGGCTACTGGAGCAAAAGGAAGTGAGTGGAGTGGAGATACCTTGAGGAAGTGACAGCAAAAGGGCTTTGACTGAATTTGAAATTTGGGACTGAGGGAGAGAGATGCGTCAGGATGGAGCTTAGCTTTCTGGGTTGTGAAACTTGATTGACGGTGGTGGTTCCAGTCACTGAGATGCAGAGCGTGGAGATCATGTATTTCTCAATACTGAATTTGAGAAACCTTTGAGATATGAATTAGACCTTCGTTGAAACTGGATGCATGAAAGCCAGGGAAAAGAGTAATTCTTGAGGGGAGTCCTGTGGTAACTGCATGAGCCAAAGGATGGAGTTGGAAATGAGTTTTCTGATGTTTGTTTGCCCGTTTCATTTTTTATTTATGGATCCATTCACACATCCATTCACTCATTCTACTTCTCACACCCTCCCGAGAACATGGAAACATTGGAAGGACAGAGGAGGATTAGTAGGTGGGATGGGACTAGCTATGGCAGATCTTGAATTCCAAGCTGACAACTCTGGATTAGCATTGAAGGCAGGCAGGGTAACATCATGGCAGAGGTATGTTTCAGGAAGATTACCTCGTAGTGTTACAGGTAGGCGAGAATAGAGGGAGGAGGACATCACAGGGTAACTCTAAGGATGCTAACAGACTACCTCGTGTAGTATAAGGTTGTAATTATAATATAAGGTTAGCATGAGGGGTGACAATCAGATCCATATACATTCATTCATTATACTACCTACAAGAGGCTATATATCTTTAACCTATCTCTCTATTTAGGTTTGGGAATAGGAAAAGATAAACTTTGAGAGTAGGAAACTAGGTCTTTTTCCTGTTTCAGTTTTTCATAACCAAGCAGGGGTAAAGTATCTTAACGGAAGCTAATGCTAATCAGAAGTGAAAGACTGACACACAGTAGGCCCTGGAAAACATCTCTGAGGTTGAACTGGATCAACGCCACTGGGGTAGTGAGAGAAGATGCAGCTCAATGGAGGACTCCTCAAGGGGAGAGGGGAGCGCGATGGGGCCCCTTGCATGAGAATTAGGACCTTGGTGACCCCCATCTGTTCCTCCTTTCCTCCCTCCCTCCCCCACCGCTGCCATGGCGACAAGTCTGGAATCACAGTAAGCCTTATACCCCAGAGAAAAGAATACGCTGTTTGAACGGTGCAAGTTGGCCTCCAAGGTTCCTGGTCCGCAGGCCCCATCCCCCGCATTCAGGGGATTCTTACAAAAGGCAGCTTTTACCAGAGGGTCAGTGGCACTGCCGCTCATGGATCTGAGCCCATTTTATCCCTCAGCACTTTGCACTTGTTTGTTTTTGAACTCACACCACCGCCTCAATGCTGTTGGTCTTGTTTTGGCTTGAGGTTCCCCATGTGGCCCTCTGCATCCCCTCTGCTCAGCCCCACAGAGCAGTGTGCTTCTTTCTTGCTTGTGTCTTCTTGTGACTGCTGTTGACTCACCAGGCTGGGGCTGTTGGAGCTAAACTGAATTAGTAACAATGCAATCAACATCTCTATTTTTATCTTCGTTCTCCCCACCCTCCCGCCCCTCCGGAGTGACTCACCATTTCTGGGTCTCAGAGCTTGGCAGTCTTGAATTATATTGGGGCTGAGGTGAATATATGCACAGATGTGATATTTCTACCATTAGATACAATGAGTATTTTCTTTCTTCTTCTTTTTTTTTTTTTCCTAGTGGCACGAGGGTTCAAACATTGTAAGTATTATTTATTATGCTCATCGTCATCCTTAACGGTTACTGTGTTACTGCTCAAGCTGCTGTTTATCTCCTGAGGTCTAACATGAATTGTAGGCAAGGAAGGAAGTCCTGACCTGATTTCTGAAACTCAGCTTCAGAGAAAACTTCAGTTTTGAACTGAAACTTTTAACCTTATCCCAGTTGAATTCTGGAAGCCTGCGCTATCCATAGAAAGGGTATACCAAACAGAATATTACCTGTAAAAAAAAA